TTTTGCTGAAGACTGAAGCTTGAGTCTTCCTCAATATCTGCCTTTGTGCTTAAATAAAGCTATCATCAATCTAAGAACCTCTGGGATAGTTGAAATTGAACATAATGGGTCCTGGTTACTGGTAACTTAAAATCAGACAATACACCTTTGATATAGGGAATCAACACAGAACAAAGAAGCATTAAGCTCTGCAGAGTTAAGTAGTGTCATACATTTTTATATCAGCTCACGGCTTTAACAGAGTGTCTGGACAGAGTAGAGTACTGTTTGTCCATCTAACATCAGCCATATGCTCTGAATGCAGAGGTTAATTTACTAACATGAAAATCTCAAAGTTTGTGAATAAAGAAATTTAAAGTGTTGAAATATAGAAAATATTTTTATGGAAGTAAAGAGGAATGGGTGACTAATTTTCCCCCAGAGATGAGTGGAAGGAGGATATGGAGAGGGGAATGCAATATCAGAGGGGTTTCACAGAGCAACAGAGTGGGATAGAAGGTTTCACATCAGACAAATCTAGTTTTAATTCTAGAATTTCCATTTAGTATCTGTGAGATCTTGGTAAAAACGTTGAACCTTTCTGGGCTCAGTTTTCTCATCTCTAAAATAAGGATAATATATTTTTTACAAATTGTTATGAGTGCTAAATGAATTCATGAAAACTATATGTCTGGAACATAGTGGGCTCTCACTAAATAGTAGTTGTTAGTATTGACTACTATTAAAAATAAGTTGTTTAGGAAGGCTAGTGTAGGAAAGATATAATAACACATGCATGGATTTGACTGGCATTTGAGGTAGAGGAAGTAGAGGAAGCTGGAAAGATAGACAGATGCCAGTTGGTAAAAACATTTGAATTCAGAACTAACAAGTATGAATATTTTACTGGAGATGATGGAGTATCATTGAGTAATATTGATTACTGGGTTGCCAGTGATTGGAGAAAGAGTATAAATTTAGTCAAAAAAGCAAGTTAAGAGGAATCATTAGTAACACTAATTCAAGGAAATATTCTATGAGATTAATTGAGGCAATGACAGTGGGGGATGGAGCAGATTTAAAAAAATATATTTCAGCTCAGTTCATGATCTTTCGGTTTATGAGTTCCAGTTCCATGTTAGAGTCTGTGCTGATGGTGCAGAGCCTGCTTGGGATTCTCTCTCTCCCTCTCTCTCTGCCCCTCACCCACTTGTGCTCTTTCTCTCTCTCAAAAATAAATAAATAAAGGGACTTGTTAACTGAAAGAACTGCAAAATAGGAATTTATTAAAACCTTTGAGTTGAGGAAGGAGTATTTTTTTTAAATGAGAGATGTATGCGTGTTCATATGTTAAGGGGAATGTTGAATGAATAAACATATATGAACACTAAATTTTATACAGAAACTAATAAATATATTCATAGTGGAATATTACTTAGCCACACAAAAGAATGAAATCTTGCCATTTGCAACCATATGGTTGGAGCTAGAGAGGATTATGCTAAGAAAAATAAGTCAGTCAGAGAAAGACAAATAACGTATGATTTCACTCATAAGTGGAATTTAAGAAACAAAACAAATGAACATGGTGGGGAGGGGAGAGAGGCAAACCAAAAACAGCCTCTTTTTTTAAAAGTTTATTTATTTATTTTGCGAGAGAGAGAGAGAGAGAGAGCACAAGCAGGGAAGAGGAAGAAAAAGAGAGAGACAGAGAGAGAGAGAGTCCCAAGCAGGCTCCACACTGTCACTGCAGAGCCTAATGCAGGGCTAGAACTCACAAACGTTGAGATCATGACTGAAGCCAAAACCAAGAGTTGGACACTTAACCAACTGAGCCACTCAGGTGCCCCTTTCTTTTGAAATTATTGTTTTATTTATTTTTAGAGAGACAGAAAGTAGGTGTGAGTGGGGGAGGGGCAGAGAGAAAGGGGGGCAGAAGTTCTGAAGCTGACTCTGTGCTCACAACAAGACCCATACACTGGGCTTGAACTCATAAACTGTGAGATCATGACCTGAGCCAAAGTCCAACATTTAACCGACTGAGCCACCAGGTGCCCCTGAAAAGACTGTTAACTACAGAGAACAAATGGAGGGGTACTGGGGAGGATGGGTAAAATAGGTGATGGGTATTAAGGAGGACACTTGTGATGAGCAAGTGGGTACTGTATGTAAGTGTTGAATCATGGGGCGCCTGGGTGGCTTAGTCGGTTAAGCGTCCGACTTTCGCTTAGGTCATGATCTCGGAGTTCGTGGGTTCGAGCCCCGCGTCGGGCTCTGTGCTGACTGCCAGCTCAGAGCCTGGAGCCTGTTTCAGAGTCTGTCACTCCCTCTCTCTCTGACCCTCCCCTGCTCACGCTGTCTCTCTCTCTTTCCTAGAAATAAATAAAACAAAAAACAAAAAAAAAGTGTTGAATCGCTAAATCCTACATCTGAAACTAATACACTGTATGTTAACTAACTGAAATTTAAATTAAAGTTTGGAGAAAGAAAAAAAAATACATTCATAGTGAGGAGGCTTCTAAATTAGGTGATGTGGTATATTTATCAAATGCACAAAACAATAGCAAAGGACACATTAATTCATTCAGCAAATATTTACTGAGCTCCATTTTGTTCCAGGTGTTATGCTAGTTGCTCTGGGGAATATATAACAAAATATAGACCTGTTATGAAGAAAAAGCAGAGAGAGGCTAGGGAGTTATGGAGATGGTGTTTCAGAAAGTACATAGTAGCATTCTGAAGTGGTATTTGAGCGTAAGCTAGGTGGAAGATGGAAATCATTAATTGCCTGGAGAAGCCCAGGCAGGGAGCACATTGGTTGTGATTGAATCAATATTACCATTTTGAATAGGTTAAGTTTGAGATACTTATTAGATATCTAAGTAAATAAGCAGTTGTGTGTACAAGTTTTGACTTCAATAAAGAGTTTGTGGTTGGAGATAAAATTTGAGAGTTCTCAGCATGCAGATCATATTTAAAGCCATGGAACTGAATGGGTTATGGGAATATCTATATTGGGGAAAATAGAGGTGGAGAATGGAGCCCTGAAGCTTCAACTTCTAGAGACTGGGAAAATGAGGGTTATCCAGCAAAGAACACTCAGAAGAAATGGCCAGTGATGTAGGATGAAAAATAAGTTTTGTTCTGGAGGTCAAGCAAAGAAAATATTTAAATAAAAAGAGAGTCATAAAAAAAATAAAGGAGTCATGATCTGCATCAAATGTTAATGAGTGGTTCAGCAAGTTAAAGTCGGTAACAGCAAAGCTTTTTTTTTTTTTTTTTTCCCCCTGATGGGAAAGGTCCAGTAGAGGGACAAAAACTACATGATGCTAATGGATGGAGCTGGGGTAATGGAGAATTGCAAGCCTTTATATGGCAAGAAGGGATGAGATCCAATGCTCAAAATGGTTGACCTTATTTAAGAACACTGTTAGTTCAGCCAAACAGGAATTTATGCGAGTGTGTATACATTTTAACTGTATATACCCAAATATCCTTGCTAATTTCAAAGTTTTCACTTTTACAGTATCATATTTGTAAAGCTCACTTTTTTCCTGGGATTTTAAACAGAATACGTGGGAGGGAACTTTTAGTGACCCTTGTTTGCAATTCAGGGTCAACCTCTGTGGTCTGCTTTTTACTTCCATAGCGCTGCGCACCAGATGGTGAAATAAATGGAGGGCATAATTCAGCATTTTCTTAGAGTACAACACAGTAGCCCTACATGTAGTAGTGGGAAAAGGGTGCTTGCGTTTTACATTGACCATTAGAAACCTCTCCAAGATATTGAGCTGCCTTATTGCTATTACCTTTTCTATTTTAAGTGCCTCTGAAGTGTCAATGGTGGAATAACTTTGTTACTATGAGTTCTGAAATGTTTTGATAAGGATCTTGATCATCCCCCACGTATGAGACTGTACTTTATTCATCTCAGTTATATCACTAGCTCCTAGTACAGCGTGTAGCTTAGAGTAGCAAAGGTTTGATTTGAAGAAAATAGGAAAATGATTATTACTTTCACTACAGGTCTAATACCTTCAGAGTGGGGTCTGTGTGTGTGTGAAGCGGTGGGGTTAGCTTCGTATATTTTGCCTTCAATGCCACAAATAGAGTCCAGTAAGTGGTGTGTTTATGTGCATGTGTGTGTGAACACTAGAAACACTGTGTGTCATCAATACTATGAAGGCAACCTGAGGAAATGCTGTAAGAGGAATAAAAGGCAAGGGGTGGAGGAGTTAGGGACCGCAGGTATACTAATTTAGTTTAGATGCATTTTCTTCCTGCATCCAGCTTCTAGAAATCCAATACTGGACTAAAATCCCCGCTCTATTTAGCAACATGGATGGAACTTGAGGGTGTTATGCTGAGCGAAATAAGTCAGGCAGAGAAGGACAGATACCATATGTTTGCAGGTAAAGGAGGATTAGGAGGAACTTAACGGAGGACCGTGGAGGAAAAGAAGGGGGGAAATAGTGGGGGAGAGGGAGGGAAACAATGAGAGGCTTTTGAATGCTGAAAACAAACTGAGGGTTGATGGGGGAGTGGGGGAGAGGGAAAGGTGGGTGATGGGCATGGAGGAGGTCACTTTTTGGGAATGAGCACTGGGTGTTATATGGAAACCAACTTGAGAATAAACTATTTAAAAATAATAAAATAAAATAAAATTCCCGCTCTAGTATTTGTCACTATACAAAAATGGGTGTGGTTTGGTGTATAGGACAGCTGCTTTTGTGAGCCCTGCAAGTAGATATTCCTGGAGTCCTCCCCTGACACCGACTTTTCCAATGCTCAGGAGCATCTCCCAGTTGCAGCATTCATTTTGGGAATCCTCCCGCCGGCAAGCCGGCTTCTTAGACATGTGGGGGCCTACTGAGCATGTGTGAACAGCGACGCGCATGCTCCCTGTAGTGGGCAGGTTTACCGAAGCGCTAGCAGTGGCTTTTACTACTCTTCTGCCTCTACACCCCCGAGCGTCCGCCTTCCCTCTTTCCCACCCCCAACCACGCTGTCCTCCGTATCCACCCCCGCCTTTCCTTCCCACCCACTCTTCACCCCAGGCTGGGGAATCTCCACTGACGTCCGGGTGACGCTACAGTGATGCCGCCTTGAGTGGGTGGGGGGTGGTTTCCAAGCGCTGCACAGGTAACGCCCCCGCTGCCGCCATATTGATAGAGCTGGGGCCGGGAAAGGGGCCCTAAGAAGTGGGGCGGCGGACAGAGTCAACGCCGAGCGACAGTCTCGTCGACGAAAGTGCTGAGCAGAAGCCGAGTGGAGCTCTCCGTGAGGCAGCACAATTTTGTCTATGGGGAGCAGCTGTCTGCGGCGGCGATCCTCCGCTCGCAGCCTTTGAGGGGACACTGCAGCGAGGGCAGCGGTCGCTGAAGCAGGGTCTGGGGGTTCCGCTGGTGGTGGCGGCGGCAGGCAAACTCAAACGACAGGATGCGGGGCCGCGCCTGCGGTTGGCAGCTCCTGTTCAAGTGCTCCTGAAGGGGCGATGCTACCGTTCGCTCCTCAGGACCAGCTTTGGAACCAAGAAATGGAAGTGTTTGGAGGCGGCCCGAGCAGCGGCGAGGTTAGTATCGTGGCCAAGGGCTGGAGCCACCCACCTCCTTTCCACAGGACGCTGGCGGGAGGCCTGAGAGAGAAGGGGCGTGGAGCCAGGGAACGGGGCGTCCAGGCAATCTCCCTTGAGGCTGCGAGATGGCGAAGCACGCGCTGCCCTAACTGTGCTTTAGCTGGAGACGGCGGGCTAGGGCGTTGGGGATTGAGAGCAGCCCGGGCCTGGGCTAGGTTTCAGAAGGAGCTCCTGCCTCATGGGCCATGCTAGAGTTGTGACTTAAGTTTCATCACTTTGCGACCTGAAGTGGGATTGGGGAACCCCCCTGGTGCCCCTCCTGGCTCTGCGCCTTCCGCCTTCCTCTTTCTCTGCTGCGCGGGGTTTGCTGGCTGGGACCACTTTCCGGGACAGCTGCTGATTCCAGTTAACTGTAGAACCCCGCGGGTGCTTTAGGAATCCAGAGCAACAAGAACATACCTAGGTGTCAGACTAACTCTGGGGACCTTTGCTTATAGGGATGTGTGCTCCTTACTTAGATTTCTCGTTTCTCCGTGTCATGTTGTGGTTTTTGTAACAACCCAAGTAGAGATTAACTGGCGGCCAGGCTTCTTTATTTACATTAAGGTGATGTTCTGTGGTCCTCTCAATTCTACCACCCTCTTCCTCCTGCCCTTTCTCTAGCTGTGGTCCCCGCCCTGTTGGTCGGTAAAAGAAAACGCTAAGTAAATCCCAGCCCTTATTAAGAGGAATCTTTGGAAGACTGCTAGGTTCAACTAGGATATTTTGGTTCTCTGTTCTTGCTCTTCTGAAACTGTTCTGGTTGGGCAGTGAAGACTTAGATATACACAGAAACTATGTAAAAGCAGTGTTATTGCTGTTTGTTGGTGTTGTTAGAAGTGGGCAGTATTTAAACACCAAAAAAACGAACCTTTTGAGATAAAAAATCGGATCCTTTTATAACTTAATGGATTGACAGCACAGTATCCCAGTGGAGGCCACAATAGACCTCATAAAAATATGTTAATGCCAAGTATTGATTCACAGCAGGATATTTTGAGGTAGGACTGGCAATCGCAGTCCTCCACATTTCAAGATGCAAATTTGACTTCAAGTACTTGCTCCATCCTTAAAAATACACTGGAATTTTCTGTTTAACTCGTTCTTTTCTCTGTTTCAAATTTCCAACAACTTGGGATTAAAAATACGTGCCAGGATACCATTTAACAAGGAATATGTAATAGAAACGAATTCAGGAGTCTAAACTTGAACCATCTCCACTATAGTACATATTTTACAAGTAAACTAAGCAGTTCCAAAATGCATTTTTTTTTAGTCTACAGCTCTTAAGAAACGGATAAATGAAGAAGGGTTCATTTCTTCTTGGAATTGTTTCATACATGCAAGAATTTACTAGCAAGACCATTAAAAGGGAGAGGAATTTTATTCACAAATGTAATCAATTGACTTATAGTCCCAGGTATCGAATTTATAAAAACAGTTAAATTCTTGTATATAAGGATGGGGTGGGAAATGGAGAGCCTTATGCATGCCTATTTAGTTATTTTTGTTAAATTTGCATGTATAAATGTTTTAAATCATAATTACCATATATGGTATTTTTATTGTTTGCCTTATGTTCTAGGTATTATAGAGATTTAACAATGGGTCTTTCTAACTAAGCAATTTGGAAAAATACTCAAGTGGGAATTGTTAAACCTTCTGATGTAAAGCAAAAGGCAAAGGTAATGTGGCAAAGATAGTATTTTTGCCTCCTTTGTCTAAAACAGTTATGATTGGTTAGATTTAATTCTTCAAGTGACTTAATATTCTACGTGAAACCTAAGTGCTGTATCTGAACAGACCTGTTTAGTATGTAAAAGAGCTTTTTGTTGTTGTTGTTTATAATAGTGTTCTTTTGATAAGAAGGAAACTATTTTACCTTCAGACTTTATTTTAATTACTTGTTTGTTGATGTTGGCTTTAGAAATATTAACCCTTCAGGATGAGCTATCCAGCCCCAGTCATGATAGCTTTTAGGATTAAGTATGCTTTCATGATGGAATATGTTTTGTGAAAATGTGTTGGAATCCTTAAAGAAAATGTAAGTGAGGATGTGTTAATTTTAATGTCAAAGGAAGTTATTTCTGTCAATTTTTGTGTGTGTTGAATCCTGGTAAAATTAAAGATTGTATGCACTATCATATACTGTGGAGTCTTTTTCAATATCTATCTTTTACTTGTCTTGTTTCATGGGCAGTTGTTAAGCTCTGAAAAGTGTGAGGATTGCTTGTTTGAGATTCTGAACATGCTTTCCCGCAGGAAAAACTTATTAATAGTTACATTTTTAGACCAGCGCACAATACTGAGGTATAATGATGAAGTTTGTGAAATTGTCCTGCGGGAAAATGTGTTGAAGGTTTTAAATAAGAACTAGTTTGGTTCCAGTGAGAGATGGAAAATGGCCCTGAAAAGGGCAATTATGGGCTCTGTTAGTTTCTGAGAAGAAAGTTCTTGGGAGAGGGGAAATAAGATAAGCAATAGGCTTTGGTTGCGAGAGCTCATGCCGAGACTTAATTAGATATACTAGGAATAAGAACTTCAAAGGGCATCAGCCTCCAGAAAGCCATAATCTTAGCTCTTGCCTGGATTTTTGTCAGGATGAGAGAACAGGTGTTACTTGAGTTCTGATGCTTATTGGACATCCCTGGATAAGGCTCATAAAGAACTGGTTTAGTAAAGTGAACTTCTCATCAGTTAGTGCAATATACATTACAGTGTGCATTTAGTTGGTTGGATGTTTTTGGTGGGATAGTGCTTGCTTCATGATGGAGGACTTGATTATAGTTTTCAAATTGCATATTTTTTAAAAGTTTATTTATTTAAGTAATCTCTACACCCAACAAGGGACTTGAACTCACCATCCTAAGATCATACAGTGTAATAATAGTTTCAGGTGTAGAATTTGGTGGTTCAACACTCATGTACAACACCCAGTGCTCATCACAAGTACCCTCCTTAATCCCTATCACCTATTTAACCCATCACTCCACACACCCTACCTGTGGTAACCATCAATTTGTTTTCTATATTTAAGAGTCTGTTTCTTGGATTTCCCTCTCTTTTTTTCCTCCATGTGCATTTGTTTTGTCTCTTAAATTCCACATATGAGTGAAACCAGATGCTATTTGTCTTTCCCTAACTTATTTCACTTAGAATAATACTCTCTAGTGCCATCCAGGTCCTTGCAAATGATAAGATTTCATTCTTTTTTATAGCTGAGTAATCTACTGCATATATATATACACACACACATACCATTTCTTTATCCATTCATCAGTTGATGGTCATTTGGACTCTTAACATAAATTGGGTATTGCTGATTTATACTGCTGTTAATATCCGGGTACATGTATTCCTTCTAATCAGTATTTTTGTATCTTTTGGGTAAAACCTAGTAGTGCAATTGCTGAATCTAGGGTAGTTCAATTTTAAACTTTTTGAGGAATGTCCATACTGATTTCCAGAGTGGCTATACCAGTTTATATTCCCACCAACAGTGTAAGAGGGTTCCCCTTTTTCTGCATCCTCACCAACACCTGAGGTTTCCTGTGCTGTTAATTTTAGCTATTCTGACTGATGTGTGGTGATACCTCATTGTAGTTTTGATTTGTATTTCCCTGATTATGTATGATGTCGAGCCTTTGAATGTGGCTGTTGTTCATCTGTCTCTTCTTTGGACAAATGTCTATTCATGGCTTCTGCCTATTTGTTAATTGGGTTATTTGTTTTTTAATGTTGAGTTTTATAAATTCTTTATATATTTTGGAAATAACTCTTTATCAGATACCCCATTTGCAAATATATTTCCCATTCAGTAGGTTGTCTTTTAATTTTGTTGATAGTTTCCTTTGCTATGCAGGAGGTCTTTATTTTGATGAAGTCCCAATATCTTTTCTCTTGTTTTCCTTGCCTTCAGAGATGTGTCTAGTAGGAAGTTGCAATGGTAATATCAAAGAGATCGTTGCCCGTGTTCTCCTCTAGGGTTTTGATGGTTTCCTCTCTCACGTTAAGGGCTTTCATCCATTTTGAATTTATTTATGTGTATTATGTAAGAAAGTGGTCCAGTTTAATTTTTTCCCATTCTTTTACATATTTATAGTATTTCCAGCAGCATTTGTTGAAGATACTTTTTCCCCCATTGGATATTCTTTCCTCATTTGTCAAAGATTAGTTGACTATATAGTTGTGGGTTCATTTCTGGGTTTTCTATTCTATTCCATTTTCTCTGTGTCTGTTTTTGTGCCAGTACCATACTGTCTTGATCACTACAGCTTTGTAATATTACTGGAAGTCTCGAATTGTGATGCCTCCAGCTTTGCTTTTCTTTTTCAATGTTGCTTTGGCGATTCACAGTCTTTTGTGGTTCCATACAAATTTTAGGATTTTTTTTTCTAGTTCTGTGAATAATGCTGGGGGTATTTTGATAGGGATTGCACTAAATATATAGATTGCATTGGTAATTTGGCATTTTAACAATATCTGTTCTTCCAGTCCATGAGCATGAAATGTTTTTCCTTTTTTTTGTGTGTTATCTTCAATTTCTTTAATCATGTTTTATAGATTTCAGAGTACAGGTCTTTTACTTCTTTGGTTACGTTTATGCCTAGGAATCTTATGGGTTTTGGTACAACTATAAATGGGAGTGATTCCTTGATTTCTCTTTCTGGTGCTTCATTATTACTGTATAGAAATGCAACAGATTTCTGTATGTTTATTTTTTATCTTGTGATGTTACTAAATTTGTATATCAGTTCTAGCAGTTTTTTTGATGAAGTCTTTCAGGTTTTCTATATACAGTATCATGTCATCTACAAATAGTGAAAGTTTGACTTCTTCCTTATTGATTTGGATGCCTTTTATTCCTTTTTGTTGTCTGATTGCTGTGGCTAGGACTTGTAGTACCATGTTAAGTAACAGTGGTGAGAGCAGACATCCTGTATTTTTCCTGATTGAAG